GACCAGGATCATTTATGAGCTTTAAGGTTTAATTGGGTGAAATCCTAGCTTTAGTGCTCTTATTGACATCAATGAGGCCAGAAATTCACTTGTGCTTGTATGAGCATCTGATATAAGCAATTTAGCTAAGAATTGGTTCACTGTGCACTTTAAAGTCTGTGCTTCATTACTCACTTTGCACAGTCTACCCATTTGAAAAATATATAAATAACCTTGAAATATGTTTCATTTTGAATTTCTGCTAGACACTGTGGCCTGAATCCTCAAAGGACATAGGCATCACAATTTGAATGTTTAGGTGCCTAAAAATCACTGGAATCCACAAAGCATGAGTCAGGGCCTTGGGCTGTCTAGATAATGAATGGGGGAGATCAGTGCTTGAGAAGAAAAGCAAGCATGCTAGGTGTGAGATGCCTAAGGTAGCCAATGGGAGATACCCAGGAGATGTTGATTTTCATGGGCAGGTCATAGTTTAAGCCTGGACTGGAGGGAGGCATCTATCTCAGCTTGCAATCCATCTCTCTTGGAGCAGATGGCTTAGGTGTTTCTTTCAAGAAAGTCTGTTTCCTAGCTCCAAACAAAACTACTTGAGGGTGGTGGGGAATGGAGGGGGAAGGGAATAGTCTCCCCCTCGTTAAAGGGGCAGCAGTGATTAAGGCAGCAGTGATTAGGGTAGGATATGGTTGACCAGGGTCAATTCCCACAGCTGCCTGAGGAGGAGAAGGGATATGAATAAGAGTATCCTACTGCTGTGATGAATGCCTTAATAACTAGGCTATAATTTCCTTCCCCTCCCTGGCCCAATTAGTATTTAAAGTAGAACAGCTTCAAAAACAGATTAAGACTCACATTGGAATATCCCAGAACTCACTGAGATGGAAAACTCCAGTTGAAGTACTTTCTCGTCATCAGACACATGGAAAACTGAAATAGAGTTAGCATTGGTCTGACCACCACCTGGTTTGAGGATAGCACCGGTCTTAGAAGTAACAAGAGTCTCTGGATGCTTACTTGAGCAGCAGTGCACTTGTCCAGAGGCAGAAACGTAGTCCTGGTGTACACTGTTGCTTAAGTTACTGTAAATTACATTGCACTGCTTAGGGGAGGTGGAGTACTGAAGTCAACAGGAGAGTGCTTTGCCAAAGACTCATCCCATATTCACCAGACCTGCGAAGCTACATCTAGACTACATCCCTCTGTTGGCAGAGGGATGTAAACAAGGCACTTTGAAAGTGCAAATGAAACGGGGATTTAAATATCCCATGCTTCATTTGCATAATTGCATCATGGCACTCTTTTGAACAAGCACGGTCTAGACGCGGTTCTTCTGAAAACGGCAGAAGTACAGGATCTTTCGAAAAAGCCTGCCGTTTTCTAAAGAACTGCATCTAGGCCAAGGTCTTACTTTCGAAATGGTGCTTGTTTGAAAGAACTCCATGACGCGATCATGCAAATTAAGCATGGGATATTTAAATCCCCACTTCATTTTCACTTTCGAAGTGCCTCATTTACATCCCTCTGCCAACAGAGGGATGTAGTTTAGATGTAACCCTAGACTGACACTGCTTCATCAATTGCAGTGGTGGCAGTTTACCATGCAGTTTAGACAAGCCCTCAAGCTATGTCTAGACTGCATTGCTTTTTCAAGATACCTTTGGTGTCCCTGAAAAGACCTTATTCAAGGAATGCATCTGCTTTTCTGAAAAAATGTTTGAAAAAAACGTGCTCTCACCATCCCTGTAAACCTCATTCTATGAGGCAAAAGAGATATGTCTAAAGAGCACTCTTTTTTCCAAAATTTGGCACTTTGTAGACATGTCAAATTTTGCAAAAGCATCTTTTGAAAGTAAATCAGAAAAAGATGCACAATTTTCATACTGCAAATTGTGTACCTTTTTCTCATTTAACCCTTTAGTCTAGATATAGCCTCAGTCGCCTAAGGACAGCAGGACTTTAGGTGCCTGCTAGCAAGGTGGATTGACTTGAATCACCAATTTTATCATGGCTTAAATCATGAAGCTCTAAAACTTGGTTTAAATCATTAATTTTTCATGTTTTACATTTGTACTTTTTAATTATTTTCCTAAAGAAAGGTTGATTCTCATTAGTTCTATTAAGAAATGTTATTTGCAATTGAATATAACCTTTGGTGGTTAATTTTACTAACCAGTAGGATGTAATATATCTATACATACTTATTTAACAAGTATATAGCTTAATTTACATTTATTTTGATTCTTAATTTTTAAATTATTGTATCATATTATAAAATGATGTATGATGCATCTCTTATTTACCACATTTTTTTTACTTGATGTATATCAAGCTCTCTTTTCAAGAAAATTCAACTTTAATTAAAAATGCACTGAAACAGCATTTTAACTTTTTTTTATTAAATAAAACTATCATAAGAGTGCTGAATACAAAAGAAAAAAAGTGCATCAAAACATGCTCTGCATTTTAAATTGATTTATTAAACAAAGGAAGTATTATCTATAGTTAGTGAATTCAACTGATTGTTTCTAGTCACCATGACCTTTGAGATTTTAGCGCTACTAGATCTCATTCTCTTAGACCTAATTTTTATTCTTTGATTAGAAGAGGAAAAATAAGCTTTTCTGCTTTTTCAACTCCCAGTTGGTTTCTTAACTTCGAGGGAACTAGACATCGAATTTAGCTAGCTGAATAAACTGAAATGGAGAACTGCAACTGCAGAAGAGGATACTGTTGTCAGAAGCTGTTTTAGTACTTCAACAAACTCTGGTTCCAGGGGCTTAGCCAGCAACTTCCCCCAGTTATGTAGTATAATTTTCTTGAAAATGTGGCAGAAAACAACATGTTCTGCATAATATTTTTATATTTAAATCGTTTTAATAGCTTATAATAATTTTAACTGTCAACATACATTTCCTTTTTAAAATTTAATTTTAAATAAGTGTAGTTTTGAAAAACAATCTCTGATTTAAATAATTATTTTTTAATTCAAAATATTGATTTAAAAAAAATCTTTTTGCCTCTAAGGTTAGGTAGCAGCTGAGAGATCGGGCTTAAAACTGGGAAGTTAGGTACCTAAACCCCATTGTATGGCCTATATGAACCCAAAAGATGATACAGTTGCAGTTCAGAGATGCTCACAAACTAGAGTAATCTCTTCCTAAACATATAGCATTCTATTATGAAGAACATTCTATTATGAAGAACAGTGTGGCTCTTCATGAGAAAATTACTTTCACTAAAAAAGAAGCAAGTCACTTTATAGTACAAAACCATTTTTTTAACTAAATATTGTACAATCGGGACTATCAAAATGTCTCACTAGTACAATAACTAAGACAAATTAAAGGAACTATTCATATTCCACTCTTGCTATATGTAAAAATCTCCTTTTTGGTAACTAAGTGCCAATAAGTGATTAAAACAAAAAGGATAAGATAAAACAAAAGTGTATTTGAGACTGAGTAGCTGACTGTGTTTCAGTTGGATGAGCATGTGCACATCTTTCTAACACAGTTGTCTCTTCTTACGCACAGGACAGTTTTGATTTGTTTCACTTAACTACACCTAATTAAACATTTTGGTCCAAATTTTATGGAGGTCTTGTCCCAGCAAGTTTCTGTTTGTGAAAATGCATATTTAGATGTCAAATTATCTGACTACTAAGGGTAGTCAAATAGGTAGGCATCTAAAAGGATATAACTTGCACATACATTTTATTACACCCTAACAAAATTAGTCCAATTGTGCCTCTTATTTTTGTTTCATACTCACTGACCATAGAAATGTAAGGAAAGGGACAGTTTGCATATTTTACTAGTGGGGGCAGGTGCATATCTTAGCTAGGGGTATCTGAATGGATTGTAACTAAACGGGGTCCTGAGAGGGGCCTGCGGGTACTCAGCATTTCATTCAGGGACATCACGTTTGCTCCCAAATATTTATGCAGTGAACACATCTAATCTCCTCCAAGCCAAACATCAGCACTGCTCAAAGCTGTAATAGCTATGACAGCTGCTGAGAAATGTCTGGGTGGCCTGTGCTCACCAGTTTCTCAGCAGTTGGAATGAATTCTCTCTCCACAACGCTCTGCAGTAAGAAACTCCAGGCTATTCTAAGACTTGATTTAATCCTTGATAGGCCTTCACCAAAGTGAACACACTAGGGACTGCTCAGCAGTTTCAAATGAAATGTGTATCAGATGATTAAATAACATAATGTTCATCATGCACAAATTCTTTCTTGTAAGTTCTCTCTTTCCATGCTCATCCAGTGGTGCATAATATTACCGTTCTTCTGAAATAGACATTATCCACCTTCCCTCCCTCACTCCTGCAGTTCATTCATATCCTAGCATAACTCTATGATTCTAACATAGAACATTATGGAAGGGCCTCAAGAGGTCTATTAGAGTTCCCAGCACTCAAGGAACAACTAAATATTATATAGATCATCCCATCTACTCCTGCAGTTCATAAGAGGTGTTTGGCTAATGTCCTCTTAAAAACCTCCAGTGACAGAGATATGGCTCACTTGCCATGATTATGAAAGTTAAATATGGATAGAGTAATTTCTCCTTAGATGTGAGTGAACCCTATTCCTCCACAAGATATCAATTTGATGGAATTTTTAAAAGATACCCAATCAATTGTATTATTGTAATACAGTTTGTGATCATTGCCTATTTTTAGGCACTGAAGAGACCATTATGAGTTGTTAACATGTTTTTGTACTGATTTTGACTCTGCTGAATTTAAAAGATTATGATTATTGATGCACTTGTGTTAGTTCATCAGTAAATTACATTGCAGAAATTGGAAATCCTGGTGAACAATGATCTTTTACCACTTCAGCCTCACCTGCAATAAAATAATGGAGTGTACAATACTTTAACTTAATCCACACACCCTTTATTCAGATTATATAAAGTAACCTGGCTCCATTTACTTCTACCATTTAATCAAAACAAGACAATAAATTTTGGACACCCGAAGTCCTTCTCAATATAAACTTCTGGTAAAGTCAGTAGATGGTTAAATATATGAAAGAAAAATCTACTCAACCTTTATACTGTTGTCTTCTAGCAGAAATGAAGTGCTTTCTCTTCTGTAACAAATACACTGTATATCATCTGTGTGAATGAACAGATTGGCTTCTTCATTCTTAGGGGGAGGGAATCTATTTCCCCACTGTTTAAATATAAATAAGATGGTCTCAAATGAAAAAGACACATTTAATCTTCATTAATAGCCCTCTAATTCACAATGCAGCTTGGCAAAGATACTTGATAAATGGGATCTAACTATGATGTTATGAGGCTACTGAAATCTTGCTTCCTGGGCAATATCTTAAATTCATGGAAAGGTTCCACAAAAAGGCAGCAGATGGAAGGGAGGCAGGGGAAGGAGCAAAATGAAGAACAGGTTCATGTTTAGTAAGTCTAAGTGCCTTTTACACTACAAATGTCTTCCAGGAGGTCATCAAAGATGACAACAACCTAGAAATTGCTGAGGTAAATGTTTTCTGAAAAAAAAAAACCCTAATCCAAAAAGAGCAATTAGTATTAATATAATAGTAATTACTCTGTCATACATCATAATAAAATTAACTCAACCAGGAAAGAAAGTACCAAACAATCCACATGCATGCATTTGCTATGAGAGTCTCCAGGTAAGGCTTAGCGGCAAGTACAATATCTATTTTTAAAGGTGCTCCACCTGATTTTCTTGCTATGCATAGATTCACAGAGTAATTATCATACATGGCTTTCATAAATAAAACATGTATTTTTATCAGTTGCCAATGCGGTGTTATTTGAGTTGTGTTCAGTAGAAGGCTCGGGAATTGGGTCAGTAGGAGATGCTGGTGTTTGAGGAATCTCTTCTTCCTTGATTTCTAATTGCACACTGTCTTGTGACTGGTCATCTATACCGTCCTTTTTGGACAGCTGATGAACTGACACTTTTATAGCAATTTGTTGTGCTGGTTCATGCAGAGATGATGCATCAGAGTCCCCCGTGGGTGAGTCACTGCGCTTTAGTGCATTAGGGATCATATACACATCATCTCCATCAGTAGTCTCCTGGCCTTCTGCTGCTTGCTGTACAAAGTTCTGTCCCTGTTCTTCCAAGCCAACCACCTCCATGATTTCTTCCATTATAGTCCTGCAGTTCATGATGAGAGGTGGCAGTGGAACACTCCGGGCAAGCTCCTCAATGTAGCGAGCAAATTCCATGGTCTTGAACTGTGTTACTTTGGCAAGCTCAAGTGTTTTGGCTGAGGTGATGATTGGGATACGTTTAGCAATCTCAAAGGCTTTTTGTAGTTTCTCTGCACCTTCTGTTCTGAAAAACTCATTGATTGCTTTCTCAGTTTTCTTCAGATGGCTGCTCATCATGCACAGCCTGGTAATGTTCAAGATCATAACAATGGTAAAAGCTACAAGGCAGACAATCATGTAATAGATTCCCATATCTCCGGAGGTAAAGACAACTCTCAGAGTCACGGTATTATTCACAGTGCCATAGATGTTAGAAGCAACACATGTGTATTTACCTCTATCATTAAAAGACACGCTGGTAATGTTCAGCAGCCCATTCTCAAGAAAACACCATTTTCCTGCTGGAAAGACAAAAAAGAATTCAGTCCAAACCATTTGTTTACATGGCCAATGTTACGTTTTAATCATCAGTTGTGTTGTACTGACTCCAGAATGTTTTAAAAATGGTAATAATGTAGACTATACTGAAATTACTCATTTGTCACAAAAATTTGTCTGCTTTTAGCATCCCACCACAAAACAATTTTAGCTACTGTGAAGATAATTGATTATACTCGGGTCACATTCTAAAAATGTCTCAATAGCCACAATAAGCTGCATTGTATATCTATCATAGTTAAGCAAATTAAAAATCTATGGTAGACAGCATCCTAAACACATGCTTTACTTCATAAAATGCTGAATTTGTATGGTTAATAGACGGTTGAGGCAGAAGACCTGATAAATCACTTAGTGAATTGCTGTTTGGATGAAGATTATAATTTTCTGGTATTTTGTTATAGTAGCTCCTATGATTTTGTTATTGTTAACTTTACAACACAACGAAAAGTATTCTAGGGATTTCAGTTGTGGGTGTGGAGGGTTGGTTTAAGGTCCAACATCACTTACTCTGCAGTAAATTCCAGAGTAATGCACAAATGGACAGAGTAGTTTTACAAATTCTGGGTGTTTCTGTGTTTCTCTGAATATCACTAACAGAATCTCCATGCTGACCCTCTGTACAACAGCACATAAAAGTGGCTGAAGGCAGGGCACAGGCTCTGCAATTACAGAGATAAAGTCATCCAGACACCGCAGCAGAGGCAATGCCTGCTAGGAATGTCAACGTGTAGTCAACTACATGATTAACCAATAAGCCTAGGCTTATCAGAGGTAGCTGTATCAGAGGCAGCAAGGGTAGAAGAATGGGAGACAGTGCCTGTGAGGAGCTGGCTTTAAGCGGAAAGAGGGTGGTCTGTGGCAGCAGCCCCAGTCCATGAATGGTCCAAACTCCCTGCAGATGGGGGCTGCTCCCACTGACCAGCCTCTCTCGGAAGTTCAGCCCCCCGTGGGCAGGGACTGTTGTCAGCCCAGGCAGTCAGTCTGTGTGGGAGCTAGTTTTTAAACTGGCAGCACTGGTGAACTGACTCCCATCTGCTACCACACGCTGCTGCCTCTGATAGAGACGCAGCAGCGCCGGGGTGGCAGGAGGCTCCCCGGGAGTGGGGCCAGAGCACACTGGCTGCCAGCCCCGCACCCAGGGATTATTGAATAGTTGTGTAACCACTAAGATTTCATGTGGTTACATGACAATTCAATTACATGATATCTAACATCCCTAATGCCTGCACTGGCAGCCTCTCCTCCTGATGTGTATTGTGTGTATTGATTTCTATCCCTCTCTGATTTCATCATCTCTCTCTCTGTTTAAAAGCTTTTTTTAGTTCTTGGACTCTTAGTCTTATGTCGTGGAAGCTTATTATGTTCAGTTTGAAAATAATTAGACAAGCCATCTTCAGTTTGAAATAATTAGTGGCTTTCTTCTTTTGAAGATTATTCTAACTCAAAAAATGGCTAACCCTGAAGGTTTCATAATCGGTGTACACATTTATCCTCAGTGAAATATCTATGCATAAGCCTACTTAACCTTTTAGGAGTGTCTAATTACTTTTCCACCAACATCATTAGAGCTGCGCATTTATTCTTATGGAGTTGCAAATGGCTGAAAACTCCTAATACTACCTACAATGTGTAATGGTGGATAAGTCTTTGCAATATTGGGCTCACCCTCCAAACATTGTAAGCTCGTCAGAATTTTCCATGTCTTCAGGTGGTACTTTGTACATAACAATATGGAATGAAGAAGTTCTGTAGTGATTGTTCTAGACATGCAGTGTACTAAGCTAAAGTATAAATAATAAGGACACAATAAAAATATTGAAGGAACAAACACATATATAAATTCTCCAATACAAAAGAAAGTTAGTTATCACTAATAAGAAGTGTGGAACTATGTAATTTATGTACTATTTAGAAAACTTTAGTATTTTAACAAGTAAATGTATAATTGTTTAAATAATTTCAACCATGGTCTGGTTCCACCACCCTCATTTACACTGAATACCTTATTGATGTAAGTAGCTTAGTTGATTACAAGGCAACAAATTACAGAGGAAGGTACTACTCAGTGTGAGTAATTGTGTCAGAACAGAACCCTAAGAGTATTTTGTCTAACTATATAAAATATTTTAGGCTGGAGTGTGGAAGTCTCTATACTATTATATAAAAAAATACTATAATGAAAGAATGCTAACATTGTGAAGGGAAGCAAGAATAGCTGCTATTATTATCCCCATGTTGGAACTGAGGAACAGAGGCCCAGGGAGATTTAATGTCAAAATTGTCCACTAATTTTGGGTGTCCAAATTAAGATCCTAGTCCCTGATTTTTCCAGAGTACTTAGCATTTTATAACATTTTATATATTCAAAGCACAGCTCCCACTGACTTTCGGTTAGGGTTGTGAGTGCCCCACCACAAATGTCTCTTGCTGGATACCCAGAAAATAGGTAACATGCAATATGGGTCCACTTGAGTAATATTGGTTTGCCTGACTTCCCAGTATAACATAGGAACTGTGGCAGAAGCAAAGATGGAAACAGTATTCAAGGACGGAATTCAACTGCCTCCACCATGAGCATCTTTTCTCTTCCTTCAGTTTCCTGCTCACACCTTCTAGTACAAGGGAACAATCCTACAGATAACAGCCCTAGTTCATTCCCAGAGCATGGTTCATTCTGCATACTGAATAAGGCAGGGGACCTGTAGAAAAAAAGTGGCCTGTGATCATGTAATTAAAGACAGTATCATAATGCATAATCTTTGCACAGTAAGGTTGTAGAGAGTATTTTAATTCTGGAATATTCTAACTTGTGAGTACCTGGTTTTGAAACTTTAATGCTCTTTTAACACCTTTTTTGTGTGTGTGTCATTTCCTAAGGTTTTATAAAGTAAATGTCTAAAATGGAAATTCCATCACGTGGCATTATACTGACTCCCATATATCAGTATGAAACCCATTTTGCTGCTCAGTCATCAGCAGGATCAAAGCCTGTAGATCCACTGCACAGACTTGAGCTAATTGAATAACTGACAGCTGTTGTAGGTTTTCAGTTTCTACATGGGCTAATGCAGAAGGGAGATGGGCAAAAATCTGCCAGTGAATTTTTGCTGGCAGCTAGGGAAAGGTTAGATACAGGAATTGCAAGGAAATGGTGGCAAACGGTGACTTGTTCTGAAGGCAGTGTTGATTAGTGGTGCCAGATCCAACAGCCCATTCCCCCTAAGCTTGACTCCTGTCCTTTCTCCTCTAACCTCTCTATGTTCTGGTCCCATCCTGTCCCGTCCCCACCTTGGCTATGTCTACACTACAGGGTTTTTGCACAAAAACCTGCAGATTGTCCATCCCTCAAGTGCATTTTTGTGCAAGATAATTTACAGTAGAATGGCAGAACAGAGGGCTTTTTGCGGTGTAGGTATACCTCTTTCTACGAGGAATAACTGTTTTTTGCACAAGAGTTCTTGTGTGAAAAGGTGTGTGTGGACACTCAACAGGGATTCCTTGCACTAAAAGAGTCTATCAGAAAAAGCACAGGTGCTCTGATGGCCATTCTTTGAATGGCAATCAAAACTTTCTTGCGTGTCCATGCAGTGTGGATGCTCTTTTGTGCAGAAGCACATCGCTTTTGTGATGCACGTTTGAGGTGTGGACGCGCTTTTGTGCAAGACGTTTTTGTGGAATATCTCTTCCACAAAAAGCTTCTTGTGCAAAAACCCTGCAGTGTAGACAAAGCCCTTGAGATCTTTATCCCAAATCCCATTCTCTCACCCAGCTAATCGCAGTCTCTGTTCCTCAGATTCCTAATCCCAAATCTGTGTTCTTGCCGGCCACAGTCTCCCCATTCCTGGTTCCCAGTCTCCTTGGCACTCACTCTCCTTGCCTATTTCAACTCCCATTTCCCTTTTTCTCTGGCATCAACCCTCCAAACACTCTCCAGACTCCTTGTCACAATCTCTTTCCACACACCTCCCCGATTCAGCTCTTGTCCCCTTGTGCATTTCAGGCAGGCAACTTCCTTTAAGATATTCTATGGATGACTTAGATCACTGGAGAGACTGTCTCGCATGCAGTTTGGGTGCCAGGTCTTGGTCCTATCCATAGCAACCCGCAGCTGCAATTTCAGGGAAAATCCTGCTCAGCTCTGGGCTAGAATAGGTCCAATGAGAACAGAATCTTTGGGGGGAATTTAGCTGTAAAGTGCTAGCAAGTCTCTACCTAGCAATGGTAAACTACAGTTTTATTTCAGTAGCTTAGAACGAGACAAAATTTAATATGGGCAAGACAATGTCTCTTTCTTTAATCTCATCTTTGGAAACAGCTGAATTGTTTTTGCTGTATTTTATTTATTTATTATTATTTTATTTTATTATTTGGAAAATTTCAGTCATAGGAAAAGACCCATCCTGGAAAATTTCAGACCAAATGGTAATAGTTTGGCAAAGTTATAAGCAACTAAATATAAGGTGTATTAAAAAGAAGTATCAGGCAAGTTTTATAACAGGCGGAACAATCAACCCCACTTACACTAGAGTCTAATATTATATATAAAGCAGTGGTATTGCTAAACCTCTTCTTGATCAGTAGGATCTTTATTCATTGTAAAAAATCACAAAATGGCTTGCTGACGTATTCTTGCTGCAGCTGTTACAAATGATATAATGGCATTTAGACTGTGACTCAGTCTATGGTTTTGTGCCAAAAGATTCTGGCAGAAAGTACAAGCCTGCTGGGAAACAAAGCCTATTCTGGGTGTAGAGAAGGTACTAGTGTTGGCTCACGGATTTTTGCTGCCCTCAACAAACAGGAAAATTATGTAACCTTCAGAGTTCTCAGCTGGACACACAGAGTGGCAGTCACGCCAGGCAGAGGGCCTACAGTTGGCCCTATGCACTGCTTTAGATTCACATTTAAAGGCTCACAATGCATCTTAATTAGTGTCCAGTGCACAGCATGAATTCTTTACATTGGCTAAGTAATGAATATTCATCTTGCTGCCTTAGGTAACCACTTGGTTTTAACCTTGGGAAATACTAATAGCAGGTAAGGCAAATCCTGTGGTTTCCAAGCACAAATTGACCATCCTACAGTATTTTTCAGTTGTTTATTGTCCATTAGCACATTAGGGAATGAAGCTTGTGCTAAGAAACATCCACTGTAGAAGGAGATAAGTTTCCTATTGGACAAACAACTAGTAATGCAGGAAAACTAAGCTGAAATGGTGTAATACCTTAATATTACCCCTGCTATTTGCAGTGTTTTGTTCAGTACTGTTGTTGAGAGAACTCCAGTAAAAGCATGCCAAAGCACTAATTACAATATGCTGCTTTATCTTTTCTACACTATGCTGGAAGCTCAGTCTGTTCCTTTCTGTACTTTTATGGATAAATATGCTAGCTCAAGACATAATACAGAAAGCTGTTACAGAAACACTACACTGTGGGGCACACAGCTGGATCAAACACTGCATCAGGTTCAGGTTCTCTCTGTGGTCAGCTATTCATAAGATAAGATATCCTGCATTAAATGTAAATAACTCAAATCCTTATTTCATTATACTGTGTTTAAAGCGGTCAGCATTAAAATATTACATGGACAATATGGCTGCTTCATAAAACTGCAAAAACCTGTCCTTTGAGGAAATTCTGTGTAATTACATTTATCCTCACATTTATGTTTAGAACAAGTTTATGTAACGATAAAGTCCCTATTCTGGCAAAGCATGTAAGCATATAATTGTAAGTGGTCCTATGGCATCCAGGACTGCTCTAACTTGCACTGATTGGAAAGACACACTCCACCCCTCCCCACTATGTTCCCAGGGACTTTTATGTTGTCCCAGGATCACTGGAACACAGTGTGCTCTGGTCATACCTTTTCCTGTCCCATGATACTCCCATATGGTTGGAATGGGGTCAGGAAAAGGTGGTGAAGTGGTAGCTATGTTCTGTACTTCCATGCCACTCCCACATGGAAAGAGAAACCCTACCTAGCTCTTAAGACAGTTTTGTATGCTCTACCACTAGAGCAGAGGAAAGAGAATAGCATGGTGACTAGTATCCAAGCCCAAATTCCTAAATTTGCTGATGAAATTTGCCTTTCCTTTGTGTTTCTATATTATCTCTTCAGCTCTTTTGTTTCCTGCTGTGTTTTGCCACAAAAACATATTAAAAATCTGTAATTGTTTTCTCAGAGAGTGGGTACAAATTGACTTACAGCTGCCATGATCCCGGGAGACTTTTTTTCATTTTTTTTCATACCTCCTCACAGGAAATCACTCCACAATAAGGTTGTTATATTTACACATGAACACACACAAATAAAAAGTCCATTATAAACAAAATGTTGATGCCAAGATCCTTGTTAGGCTGAAAGAAATTAATCAGAGCACAAAAGCCTTACCACTGTTCTCTTCTTCCTGCAGCAAACAGCCATTGGAATTGTACCATTTGTAACGTGGAGCAGGATTTCCTTGGACATTGCAGTCAATTAAGGCACTGTTCCCTTCCTTGACTGTAATATGATCGACTGTGGAGATAACTACAGGTACAGATCCCAAGTTCATGTCAGTGTGATTTAAAGTGCTACTAGTCACATCCTCAGCAGTTATCAAAGCTGCTAGTAAGATGAAAAGGTGCATGGTAGGCAAGACGTTCAAAAAGAAGTGGCTGTTTAGCTTGTTCATCTTTCTTCAGTAGGTTGATCAACCAGAAGAGAGCTGGGATATGGAACTCTGTTGAACGCAGCCCTCAAAGCTGAACAAATCGCAGGAAAGTTTTACCTTGATCCACGAAGATTTACATTTAAGAAAAAAATTCCTATAAAATAAACACATTTTTTAAAATGGAGTTCAATATTCCATTCCAAAAGTTCATTAAAATAAAGATACACCCACAAATTCATGTGACATGCATCATTTCAATGTCTTATCTAAATGCTAATGATATCAACATCCTCATTTTTACTGGAAAAAGAAGCATACCTTTCCCCAAGAATAGCACTTTTAAAGTGGCAAGTGTCAGAGAAGTTTTTATCACCTGGACATTTAACAGCAATATAACTGTAGCAGCAGTTACAGTTTTAGTCTGAAGATTCTACACACGAATGTTTCCTAAGCAATCAACTAAACTGGAAAAGCAAAAGGCATGTCTGTTAATCTTGCAATTATAGGTTCTATCATAAAAACGTAAGAACGGCCATCCTGGGGTTAGAGCATTGATCCATCTAGTCTAGTATTCTGTCTTCCAACAGAACCTAATGCCAGATGCTTCAGAGGGAATGAGACAATTGAGAAGTCAGCCATTCCTTGTTGCGGCAAGCTTGAAATGGTTTTCATTATATATACCACTTACAGTTTGGTCTAATGGCTCTCTGCACCCCCACTGTATTAGCACTGTATATCTGCACTCCCACTGTATCAGCATGAACTTACCAATAGTTGGGTTTTTATTTTTAATATCATACCTATGCACTGTTTCCCAAAGTGCACAGCAGGCATTTTACCCTCCCTGAAAAATCAAATAAACTGATAGGGGATGAAGACACTGGGCTTTGAGCACAAATTCAGTACTTCCATCAACTGGTCATTCTGAAGAGAGGCAGATAAAAGAGGGACATTGATGCATACCTTGTTTTGTCTTACTATGTCTGTGTTAATTTGTTCTCCTTCTGATAATAACGTTGTATCTCTGGTATCTAGTGCTACAATGTTATTCAGTTCAACAGAACCAAAAAACATTGTATCTGTAATGGGTAAATGGTTTCTCTAGACTAAGGAACACTAAAAGCCCAGAGTTAGTTTGCCTAGTCTGTAACTATAAAGAAAAGAGAAAGATAAGTTCGGTTTCATCTTTGTTCCCATTGGTCCACAACATAAAACTCACCACATGACTAGCAGTCATGATGACTGTACTACAGAGTCATGGTTAACGTTAACCCCTGATATCTAAACACTACTTACTGATTTTACTCTTCACAACAATCCCTTTTTCTGGTCTCAGAGGGCAATATGTTTATACCGTGGAAAACTGTAAAAAGCTAATACGTTTTTATAGGAGCAGAAATGCAGACACTGAA